CAAACTGAAGGCGCCTGCTATTTCTATTTTACTTCCTAACATAATGCCTGCAGTCTTCCACGGACTTATGAGAATATTTTGCATATTTTTCTAAAGGGCTGATGATGTTGATCAAAAGCCTGGTCCATCGAGTTATTAAATAATCCTGAAAGAAATGAGCTACTAGTTTGAAAGGCGTTCCACTTCATATAAACGAACACCTATCCTTAAGCCTATCTACTGATTTAAAGGCAAGTTAGTGTGAAAAAGGGCAAAACATATATTCCAGGCAAATATCCTAAAAATCTATTTTTAATTTTCAAACTATTAAGTACCTATATTATATACCCTATTTACTTGCTGATTTGACTCTTTCCCTAAGACCTACAAAAGCTCTACTGTTAGAGCAAAGGTCGTCTATTCATAGCTTTGGCTATGATAATATACACTTAGCCTCATAATCGTGTACACTGAAGATACATTAATTTTGTGCTCAGGCTAGCTAAGAAAATCTTTCTAATGGTGTATATGCCACAATGTTATTTTTTTAAATACCTATAATCATTTCATTCAAAGTATATTTAAGAAAAACATACTATTAGCATAATCTCGAAAAGCAAATTGGTTTGGCTGTGAATACCAGAGAATTATGTATAGGCAGTTAGGCGAATCCCAATCTTAACATTTGTTGTATAGGAAAAATATTTTTAGATAATAACTCATGTAAACGTCAAGGAGATTATTTATCCCCTTTTCACATATGTTTTGACAGTTCAATGGGCTGCTCCAAAGACAACATAAGTTCTTTTTTTCTGATTTCAATATTTTAAGAAAGCATTAAGTTCTCTTTTTATTATTTACTTGGTCTCAGCTTTTCTCTTTCTTTTATCCTTGAATAACGAATGACTGAACTTAGGGTTTTTAACATAAATAAGTTTCTTCAATATTTTTCAAATGTATCTAAAAATAAAGCGTTATGTTTGGGTTTATAAAAAAATGTCATACAACTTTTAATTTGAAAATCATTAAGGATAATTGTGCCTATTAAAGATTTCTAAAGAAATCAACAATATATTTAAGTCAGAAAATTTAATTAATTCGAATTAATAGTAAATGTCTTGTAGACGAACTAAATAGGCAACTAAAGGCATATTTATTTAAGATTTCTTCAGAATAATTTATATAAAACTTCAATTAATCATTAAAATAATCACAATAACCATTTATTCAAGGGTATTATATATAAAACCAAGTCTTCACAAATATCGACTTATCCTCATTTATCCAAGCCATATTTACAATTCACAATTACTATTGCTTTAAGAAAAATTATCTAAAAGCCTATGCTAAAAGGTTTCCTTTTTTAACTAAAGTTTAACCCCATCATTTATAATGATTTGCCAACACAGCACTTTGGACCATTTCTCCATCCATCAGTACCTGCAACGTGGCTCGAATCCAAGGAACAAAGGCAATAGAGAAATTTTCAGGATATTTAATGTAGGCTTTTATTTCAGGTCCACTGGGGAGAAAGGATAAATGAGATAATTTAGGCCTCATTATTTTGTGCGAATATTCGATAAAGCAGCATAAAAATAAATTCTATCCATAGGTGCCTAAATAACCCTAATTTTTATTTTGCTCTTCTCTTTCGGCTTGCTTTTAGTGGACCTTAAGCACATAACCGAAAAGTACGCTAACGGGCCGAGTGGTATGGTCGAGATTGACTATGCAGTGGACATGCGCGGTTTCTCCTCCTCCGTAGAGTTCGACATCCTATCAGTTACTGGCGTGCGAGAAGAGCATTATCCTGCCTGGGCCAACGTGCATTACCCTGACGTCACGTTCAGGATTCGGATGCGTAGAAAAACTCTCTTCTTTACTGTCAATTTGATGATGCCCTGCGTTACCATTTCTTTCCTCACGGTGCTCGTGTTTTATCTGCCTTCTGAGAGTGGCGAAAAGATCAGTCTTTCTATTAGCATTCTTGTTTCACTCACTCTTTTCTTCCTTCTTCTCGCAGAGATCATTCCTGCCACCAACCTTGTAGTTCCTTTGATTGGAAAATATCTGCTCTTTACAATTATTCTCGTGTCACTTTCAATTATTGTTACTGTGATAGTACTCAATCTGCATCATCGAGCTTCCGAAGCACAGAACATGTCAGGCTGGTTGCGGGTCGTATTCCTGGGCATTCTACCCAAGATCCTGCTTATGACACCTGCCAGAGAGAGCGATGAATCGAATGATGAAGAGAAGCAACGAAAGAGTACGAGGGAAGATCTAAGAGTAGAGCAAATTAGTGAAGAAAATGGAGGCCAAAATATCCCATCACTGGCTCAGTCAACAAATTCAGGGAAAGAAAACATTGAATGCAGGATTGGAAGCGTCGTAAAACGCACTGGTAGAGTGCCTAGTTCAGCTCATCCATTAAAACGAGATCGAAAAAAAATCTGTTCCGAGGAAGAAGTAATGCCAGCAAAAAACCACGTGCATTCATATCCATGGAAGCTAGAAAGAGATGAAGACATCAAAACTATGGGGGAATTGATATCGAACAGGCAGAAAAGGATCAAAATACAGAACGAACAAGTAAGGAAATAAAATGATAATAAGTTATAATATCTCAAATTAGCTCACCATCGAAAGTGACATCCATAAATTAGTTTTATAGACTGTCATTTTTACAATTATGATTTTATAAATAACTTTGCAATTTGCACAATCATGCATAGGCACAAAAGTGTTATGAAAGTCTATTATCCCAATAATTAGTAGGTAACTTAACGTTTTGGCATAACATTAATGTCTTGAGTGCTTAAAAGAAATAAGGCATGTAAGCAAACAATGGATGGTTTTTCTGTGGGAAGTGTAGACATCTAGTGATACTCTAAGAGTACGACTCAATGGATACGGATAATATTCCACAAATCGATTTTTGATAATCCATCTGCTCCAGAATACAGCCTGTTATATCTTACATAAAAAGCTAGGGAAGCAATTTGAGAAAATACTTTATGAAACTTTGTCGCCATAGAGTAGTTTATACTGTATCCCCTTCTTCTCTTCGCCTTTCAGATATTTTTGTACAACTGAAAATTACTCGTGTGGAAATTGTATGCAAAGTTGGCATCTAAACTCGAAGGTGAAGCTTCACGTCTCTATATGAGCTTATTAGTTCACGAAGTTCTCCAAAGATATACCATTTAAGAGCAGTTTATAGTTTATTGAGCAGTCAGAGCAGAATTTTATTCCGTGGGCAAGAGCCACATAAAGTACTGAAAGGATCTGTAAGCAAGGTTAGGCAAATGACGGAATTCAATTTTTGAGAGGTATTCAGGGTCATCTGAATGCACAATATGCATAAATGGGCATAAGATTAAAAGCATTAATGACAGGCTCTCGTATTCCATCTTAGTTTCATACCATCTATAGTAGTTAAAGTTGGCATCAGCAGATCATAGTTTCCTTGTAACCTGTTCTTCTGATAAGGCTCAGCATACTTTTGATGCTATGATTTTACCTCCAGTAAGTTATTCAGAAATTTTGATTTTACATTCAGGTTTACTCAGCCAAGGAATTAAGGATGGACCATTGAAAATACTTATTTTTAACAATTCCAACGGTGGATTTCGAACCGTAAAAAGGAGAGTTAGTATACGAACGTGTTGCTTCTGAAGCCAGACAATCTTAACTGCTTTTTGATTCAGCTTAGCAATAATCTTATCCCCGATAGCAGTGACCAACAAAATATCAGCAACTTTATCTTGCATATTCAGCGTTAACACAAATGGTTTTTGCTATCTGCATTAAGGACGAAAGAAGCTTCGCTTTGAAAGGCATACTAAGTTTATAAAATAAAGTAGTATGATTGTTTGGTTAATAGGTGGAACCTGCAGTAAGAACTGAAGAATAGTAGCCTTATGGAGTGCGTGACCCAGTGAAGTTCAATATAAAATCAGGTCTTCAATCATGAATAAAAGTAATTTACTGTCCATATAAAAACATAAAATAAATTTCAGCAACGTCTGGATGACTGTAACCTTGTTTTATATTTTCAGGGATTAGTTTAAATAAAGAATACTCTTAGCCACGAAGGGATTTGACATGCCAATTTTATGCTTCAAGCTTATTGCATATGAAGCTGCTTTTTATACAAGTTTCATGAACCAGAATTCACATTTAGAATTTGTATCGTGTCTAAGCTCAACTTTATAAGCTCAACTTTTTGACTACTGAAAAGGAGAGTTCTGTTTTCGATTTCGGCATTGCCAATGACTCTGTTAGATTGACTTTATATTATTCACTGGCCCCTGATTATATCTCGGACAGACTCGTTCCGCACTCATGGCACCATCTACATCCGGGCCTCCATCAAATTGTGCAAATAGTTTACAGCTAAGATCTGGCTGAATTCAGGACTATGCTCCGCTGCCTCGCAAATTTATTGAATTCTTTAAGTGTCTTCACTTCTATCTAATGAGCTAAGCCTTTGCTTAACTCTGGGAAGACTACGTGTGCCAAGTGAAGAAACGCATAAAGGGACCATACGTCAATCGAAAACAATATAGGATCTCTTGATTAGTTTTGCGGAAAGATTAACCCAAAGTTTGCTGTCTTTGTCTCCCGCTTCGACAGGCCGACTTAATTACTTTTCCTTTGCTCCATTCGGATTTGACTTAGTCAGGTTTCGTTGAGCACTACTGGTTCACCATTCATTGACGAAAGAGCATTGGGGGCCGAATCGGGTGGGAAAGGGACGTGATAGCGGTGAGTTGGGAGCCGTGCCTCAGCTATTTAGACCCAGTTGGATATGATTGAAAATGACAAGGTGTACAGGATTATTTGGTTAACGAATTGAATTGAAGCTTGTGAATTGCAAAGACTGGATTTATGGGAAAGAGGAATGCAAATTGGTGGGGAAGAGATTTATAGCAGATGAAGAGGAACTATCTGAGTAGGAATGAAGTGTCTGTCCATGGGCCAGCCCGGTGCAAGGATTCTACAATACTCTCCAACCAGTGTGCGACTGAAAGCGAGCCTCTAAATTCAGTAGTATCATGAGTTTCTGCCCAAACTACCCTGATCTAGTTGGATCATATCAGCACCTCCACCAGCCTATATGCACGTTTTCCTGTATTGCCTGTATGTTCTGTGGAAAGATGCCAAGTAAGATGAGCAGTTGGATATATATGTACCTACAGGGAGGGCGAAAACTAATGAGACTCGTCTATTTTCTGGCTTCCAGTTCGAAGGAGAGATCAGCGAGGCATGCGAGAGGGAGTGAAATTGCGCGGGGCTAAAAGGACAGCATACAGGCAAAGAAGTGGAAACTTGATCATACCACGTGCAAACTCTTCAAAGCATAAAGTGGTGGGGTTGGTGGGGGAATTAATCAGGGCAAGTTTACGAAGCTCAGATCGATGAGTTGGCAGAGTCGGAGGTATGATCAGCACATGGCCGCAGTTGGTATGGCAAGCTCGAGAGTGTAGACATCATGATGGGTAGAGACTCAGAGCTAAGGGGCAGAGAAAAAAACACACGGCTGTGCAGACATGGCAGCATATTTGGGATGAAGACGTTATGAGAAGGGAAAAAAGACCAAGGGTTGCGCATCGGTACTACAGGTATACGGGAGTGTTTAAGTGGGAAAAATTAGATTTCTCCAGGTCATCGAGGACTCTCGTTAGACCGGCTCTTGGATGGCCTCTCCACACAACAAGCATTTGCATAAAAGAGCCCCCATCTCGGCAATTGCCTTGTGTTCCCCAATTCGTCCACCCACCGACTCATTCATCCAAAAGTGTCAATGTATCATGCCCCACCCATTAGCTTTTGGTTGCCTGGTCGACCGAACGAATGCTATCAACTCGGTCACCGACTTCAAGTGGATGCAGGCCCACATTCATGCATGCGCATACAAGCAGTCAGAAAGACGTCCGATTAACGGTGCAGGGGCAAAGCAGAGCATCTTCTTATTCACTTACTTTAGAGCCGTGTTGAATGAATCAGTATAAATCTAGGCAATGTCGTACGCATTATCCTTGCTGACTGTGATTTTTACGGTCTATTTTGATTAACCAAAAACTTTTATATATGGTAACTACATATGAATAATAGGAAGTTATATTCGAAGGACTATATGAACCAACAGTTTCTGGGTAAATAACCATTATCAGGTTGCTAGACTAGGCAGACCTACTAATAAATGCATCAAAAA